TTAATTCATTTGGCCAGGCATGATGGCTCACACCTATAATCCTAGAACTTTGGGAGGCCAAGGCAGGCAGATCACTTGAGCTCAGCAGTTTGAGACCAGCCTGGGCAACATGATGAAACCCCATATCTACAAAAAATATGAAAATTAGCCAGGCATGGTGGCATGTGCTTATAGTCCCAGCAACTTGGGAGGCTGAGGTGGGAGGATCGCTTGAGCTGGGGAGGTCGAGGCTGCAGTGAGCCATGATCACTGCACTCCAGCCTGGGTGACAAAGTGAGACCTTGTTTCAAAAAAAATCATTCATTCACTCATTTATTTATTCTTCCATGAATTCAACAAATATTTTGAGGCCAATTATCTTCCAAGTGTTATTCTAGAAGACTCTGGGGGCCCATAAGTGAACAAGACTACAGGATCCTTACTGTAGAGGGTCTTACATCCTAGTGGTGGAGGACAAAGACAGAAATAAGTAAATAAATAAGACCAGGTGCAGTGGCTCACACCTGTAATCCCAGCTCTTTGAGAGGCCAAGGCAGGAAGATTGCTTGAGCCCAGGAGTTTGAGACCAGCCTGGGTAACATGGCAAGACCCCATCTCTAGAAAAAAAAATACACACACACACACACACACACACACACACACAGTAGTCCCAGCTACTCAGGAGGCTGAAGTGGGAGAATCACTTGAGCTTGGGAGGTTGAGGTTGCAGTGAGCTGTGTTCGAGCCACTGCATTCCAGACTGGGTGACAAAGTGAGACTGTGTTTCAAAAAAGAGTAAAAAAATAAATAATTTTTGACTGTGCTAAATTCCAGGAGGAGGATGCACAAGGAGATATCAAAAAGAATGTCAGACCAGAGCTACTTCTGACAGGGTTTCCCGGGAAGTCCTTTCTGAGGAGGCAACAGTTGACCCATGCAATGGTTTGAAAATACACCATAGAGTCAATCAGATTAATAATGGATTGGATGTAAGGATTAAGGGGGGAAAAAAAGGAATCTAGGATCACTCCTAAGCTAAATGCCTTTCTGGGAGTTATTGAGCTAGTGCCAGATGAGCCCAGATTTGAACCCAGATGTAGCTGACTCCAAAACTTGACTCTTACTCTTGCAAATTATATCTGAAGACCTGGATTGATATATGGAAGATCAATAACAAGACCTTGACCATCTGTCTTAACAGCCAATCAGCCAATCAATTTTTTTTTTTTTTTTTTTGAGACAGAGTTTTGCTCATGTTGCCCAGGCTGGAGTGCAATGGCGCGATCTCCACTCACCCACTGCAACCTCCGCCTCCCGGGTTCAAGCGATTCTCCTGCCTCTGCCTCCTGAGTAGCTGGGATTACAGGCATGCGCCACACCCCCGGTTAATTTCATATTTTTAGTAGACATGGGGTTTCTCCATGTTGATCAGGCTGGTCTCAAACTCTTGACCTCAGGTGATCCACCCACCTCTGCCTCCCAAAGTGTTGGAATTACAGGCGTGAGTCACCACATCCAGGCAACAGTCATTATTAAATGAGATACAACACCATGTTCCATGAACCTACGACTTTGTAATGTAGGAGATGAGTCTCGTACCCATGGAAAAATAACGTAAACTATAAATTGAAATACTCTATCATATGGTACAAGTGAGAGGTGCAAAATAAACTTTAGAGAGTAAGGTGAGTTAGAGAGAGTGAGGTGGGCATGGTGTATTTGAAGTCCCTCTCCCTTCTCTGGAGGCCCAGACCAGTGCTATTCAAAGTGTGGTCCCCAGTCCAGCAGTGGCTCCTGAGAACTTGTTAGAAGCGCCAACTTTCAGTCCCCATTCAAAACCTTCTGAATCAGAATCCCTGGAGGAACATCTGTTTTTTTTTTTTTTTTTTTCTCTTATTATTTTTAACTTTTAATGGTTTTAACTAATTATTTTAATATAAATTGTACATACTTACAAGGTACAGTGTGATATTTTGATACATTATACAATGTGTAATGACCACATCAGTGTAATTAGCTTATCTATCACCTCAAATATTTATCTTCATGTTGGGGGCAATCAAAATCTACTCTCAACTATTTGAAAACGTACAATAAATTGTTGTGAATTATAGTCACCCTATAGTGCTATAGAACACTAAACACTATTCCTCTTTTCTAGCTGTACTTTTCTATCCATTAACCAACTTTTGGCTACCCTCCTCCCCACTACCCTTTCCAGCCTCTAGAAACCACTATCCTTCTGTCTACTTCCATGAGCTCAACTTTTTAAGCTTCCACATATGAGTGAGAGTATGCAGTATTTATCTTTCTGTGCCTGGCTTATTTCACTTAACATAATATTCTCCAAGTTCATCCATGTTGCCATGAATGAACATGAAAAAGAATTTCATTCTTTTTTATGGCTAAATAGTAATCCACTGTATTATATGTACCACATTTTCTTTACCCATTCATCTGTTGACAGACACTTAGGTTGATTCCATATGTTGGTTATTGTGAATAGCATTGCAATAAATGGGGTGCAGGTATCCATTTGCTATATTGATTACAATTGCTTTGGATATGTATTAGTTCATTTTCCCACTGCTATAAAGATATTACCTGAGACTGGGTAATTCATAAAGGAAAGACGTTTAATGATGATTCACAGTTGCACCTGGTTGGAGAGGCCTCAGGAAACATACAGTCATGGTGGAAGGCAAAGGGGAAGCAAGGACCTTCTTCACATGGCGGCAGGAGAGAGAAGTCCAAGCTCAGAAAATGACAGATGTTTATAAAACCATCAGATCTATGAGAACTCACTCACTATCATGAGTACACATGGGGGAACCGCCCCCATGATCCAATCACCTCCCTCCCTCGACATGTGAGGATTACAGTTCCCTCCCTTGACATGTGGAGATCACAATTTGAGATAAGATTTGGGTGGGGACACAGAGCCAAACTATATCAGGATATATGCCCAGTAGCAAAACTGCTGGATCGTATGGTAGTTCTTAGTTTTTTGAGGAATCTCCATACAGTTTTCCATACTAGCTGTAGTAATTTACATCTCCACCAACAATGTGTAAGAGTTCCCCCTCTTCTTCACATCTTCACCAGCATTTATTATGTTTTGTCTTTTTGATGATCCCTGTTCTAACTAGGGTGGGATGATATCTCATGAGGTTTTGATTTGCATTTCCTTGATGATTAGTGATGTTAACCACTTTTTCATATGTCTGTGCCAGCCACCTGTTTTTTAACAAGTCCACTAGAAGGCTGAGAACCCCAGGTCTAAAGTGCCAGTTTCAGGACAAAGCACTCGGCCTCCCTATTTGCACTTCTGTCTCCACCATGACTCCACCAGCTCCCTCCTAAACCTTCAACTGAGTCCACAGCTGCATAAAAGTATTTTCTGATCCTGAGTTCTTGTGAGCCTGGAAAAAAACCCTCTTCCGCTAAACCCATCTGAGAAATGGCACATATTTTTATTTTTTATTTTTTCATTAAACTTTAAGTTCTGGGATACACGTGCAGAACGTGCAGGTTTGTTACATAGGTATACATGTGCCATGGTGGTTTGCTGCACCCATCAACCTGTCACCTAGGTTTTAAGCTCCACATGCATTAGGTATTTGTCCTAATGCTCTCCCTCCCCTTCCTCCCAACCCCCAGACAGACCCCAGTGTGCGATATTCCCCTCCCTGTGTCCATGTGTTCTCATTGTTTAACTCCCACTTATGAGTGAGAACATGTGGTGTTTGGTTTTCTGTTCCTGTGTTAGTTTGCTGGGAATGATGGTTTCCAGCTTCATCCATGAGAAATGGCACATATTTTTAAAGAAACTATATGGAAATTAAGAGAGAAGCAAAACAACCCTCCAAATACAATCCCAGCACTTTGGGAAGCCAAGGCGGGAGGAACGCTTGAGGCCAGGGGGTCGAGGCCAGCCTGGGCAACGTGATAAAACCCCGTCTCTACTAAAAATACAAACCCCCCCCCCCAAAAAAAAAAACCAAAAAAACCTGGGTGTGGTGGCACACCTGTAATATCAGCTACAGGCTGGGAGGCTGAGGCAGGAGAATCGCTTGAACCCAGAGGTGGAAGTTGCAGTGAGCCGAGACTGTGCGACTGCACTCCAGTCTGGGTAACAGTGAGACTCCGTCTCAAGAAAAAATAAAAATAAAAAAAAAAATTAATTTTAAAAAAGAAAAAGAAATTAGCTGGGTGTGATGGTGCCTGCCTGTAATTCCAGCTACTCGGGAGGCTGGAGCCTGGGAGGCTGGGGTTGCAGTGAGCCAAGATCGCACCACTGAACTCCAGCCTGGGTGACAGAGCAAGACCCTGTCTCAAAAACACACGCACATACCCACACCCACACACACACACCCACCCACACACACACACACAGAGTTTAGAAATGCGGTATTTACAAAGCCAATCTTCTCTACCTGAGCTTTGAAATAAACCAAGGGTTTGCCTCCTGGCCATAATACTTACTAGCAATATAATCTGGAGAAACTAACCTCTGGGCCTCAGTTTATCTGTCTTTGAAATAGGAGTAATAACAGTATCTTCCCCATAGAGTTGTAAAAATTAAATGAGGTATATGTACAAAGCTTGCTGAAGCTCCTGAGTCATAGTAAACCTTCAGTTAATGTTGGGTTTGCGGAAGAAGAAGGTTTTGTGCTATGTTTGGATTTAACTGGGCTAGAGGCATCTTATTTCAGGCATCAGAGGGTGTGAAGCATTCTGACAAGAGAATCTACTCCATATAGGAAATGATTCATTAGCCCAGGACAGGTGAGCAGCTGTTACTGAACAGTGAGTTAATGATCATGGGCAGATCACTTGAGGTCAGGAGTTTGAGACCAGCCTGGCCAACATTGCAAAAACCCATCTCTACTGAAAACACAAAAATTAGCCGGGCGTGGTGGTGGGTGCCTGTAATCCCAGCTTCTCAGGAGGCTGAGGCAGGAGAATCACTTGAACCTGGCAAGCGGAGGTTGCAGTGAGCTGAGATCGTGCCACTGCACTCCAGCCTGGGCGACACAGCAAGAGGCTCCGTCTCAAAAAAAAAAAAAAAAAAAGACATTATTGTAAGACTGGCCACTAGCCACTAGGTGTCCCAGCTTCATCTGGGTTATAACAATAGCTGAAGTTTTTCCAGCACTTCCTATAAAGTCATGTTATTATCCTAGTTTTACAAACAGGGCAACTCGTCTGAGAAAGCATAAGTAACAAGGTCACAGCTTATAAAAGTCTAGACTCTCTTTTATCTCATTGAGCTATAAACTTCCATATGATAAGCCTGTGTCCGGCCCCATGTTGCCTGGGCCTGGGGCTCTGCGGGCCTGACTGCTCACCTCTGGGCCTGTGTTTCCTCCGTAGATCAAGTGGCTTGTGCAGATCCAGAGATCTGCCGGAAGATCTGCAGCAATCCCTCGGGCTGTTCTGACATCGCGTATCCCAAACTCGTGCTGGAACTCCTGCCCACAGGTAAAGTCCCTTCACCCCTGAATCAAGTCCCCTGGAGCACCCAGAAAGGAGATCACTGGATGGGCTCTGATCCAAGGCAGGGTCAAGAAGGGAGGGCTGGAGGGAGGAACAGGCCCTAGGCCCCCCATGAAAGGCTGAGTCCTGCAGGAAGCTCTGCCCCGCCGTCCTCCCTGAGGTTCTGCCTCCTCCAGTTGAGCCCACTGGGATCGGCTGCTTTGGCAGAAAAGGGCCGAGGCCCATGACCTCCCTTCCGCCCCCAGGGCTCCGTGGGCTGATGATGGCTGTGATGGTGGCGGCTCTCATGTCCTCCCTCACCTCCATCTTTAACAGTGCCAGCACCATCTTCACCATGGACCTCTGGAATCACCTCCGGCCTCGGGCATCTGAGAAGGAGCTCATGATTGTAGGCAGGTAAGTCCCTACTGGGTGGGGCTGGGGCAGGGGGAAGAGAGAGCTGAGCCCACCCCGAGGCAAAGTCCAGGTCCGGCCGGCAACGTATCCAGGCTGAAGAGCGTTAGGACTCCATGTGCAACACACTGGTTCATTCAGGAGATGCTTGACGAGCACCTACTGTGTACCAGGCACAGGGCACATAACCATGAAAGGGCTCAGTTCTTGCCTTCATGGAGCTAGGGAAGGAAGAGAATAAGCAAAGAATTATAACCCAGCTGGGCGCGGTGGCTCACACCTGTAATCACAGCACTTTGGGAGGCCAGGCCGGTGGATCACTTGAGGTCAGGTGTTCAAGACCAGGCTGGCCAACATGGTGACACCCCATCTCTACTAAAAATACACAAATTAGCTGTGGTGGCGTGTGCCTGTAGTCCCAGCTACTCAGGAGGCTGAGGCAGGAGAATCATTTGAACCCAGGAGGCGGAGGTTGCAGTGAGCCAAGATGGCACACTGCACTCTAGCCTGGGTGACAGAGTGAGACTCTGTCTCAAAATAATAAAATAAGCTGGGAGCGTTGGCATGTGTCTGTAATCCCAGTTACTTGGGAGGCTGAGGCAGGAGGATCACTTGAGCCCAGGAGTTGGAGGCTGCAGTAAGCTATGCTCTCACCACTGCATCCCAGCCTTGGCAAGAGAACAAGACCCTATTTAAAAAAAGAGAGAGAGAAAGAGGAGTAAATGTTCAGGGAAGTTGATGCTAATTTGTGCCTCTTGCCGCTGGCACCAGGGTGTTTGTGCTGCTGCTGGTCCTGGTCTCCATCCTATGGATCCCTGTGGTCCAGGCCAGCCAGGGTGGCCAGCTCTTCATCTACATCCAGTCCATCAGCTCCTACCTGCAGCCGCCCGTGGCGGTGGTCTTCATCATGGGATGTTTCTGGAAGAGGACCAATGAAAAGGTAGCTCTGGACTGCTTCCACTAGGCCAGAACCAAGTGCTGCCCCTTGAGGACTGGGATAGGATGGGAGGGGAGGGCACTGGAGGGAGATACAGGCTGGACTTCGGTGTTGAGAGGGAGGGTGAGTTTCATGGTGGAAGATACAGAGAGGGTGTTTATCTGACCTTTGCAAAAAAGCAATGAGAGGGCTGCTGCGATGGCTCACACCTGTAATCCTATCACTCTGGGAGGCTGAGGTGGGTGGATCACTCAAGGTTGGGAGTTCGAGACCAGCATGGCCAACATGGCAAAACCCCACCTCTACACAAAATACAAAAATGAGCCCGGTGTGGTGGTGGGTGTCTGTAATCCCAGCTACTCAGATGCTGAGGCAGGAGAATCACTGGAACCTGGGAGACAGAGGTTGCAGTGAGCTGAGACTGTACCACTGCACTCCAGCCTGGGTGAAAGAGTGAGACTCTGTCTCTCAAAAAAAAAAAAAAAAAAAAAAAAAAAAAGAAAAGGCAGTGAGAGGTTCTCATCAAAAGTATCTTGATGCATTTTTTGTTATTGAACAGGGAAGCTAAATTAAGAGGGTGTTACTAATCTATTAGTAGTCGATTCATTATAAAAAGATAAATGGTTCAGTATTGCAGAACCTTTCCAAATTGCTGACCCATGCGTGCAGTGACCACCACAAGAAAGACAAGCCCTGGAGATGGCTTCTCGAGGTTCCTGGAAGCCAGAGCCCTTGGCGTCTCTAAGACGATCTTGCTCTGATGTTGCAGGGTGCCTTCTGGGGCCTGATCTCAGGCTTGCTCCTGGGCTTGGTTAGGTTGGTCCTGGACTTTATTTACGTGCAGCCACGGTGCGACCAGCCAGATGAGCGCCCGGTCCTGGTGAAGAGCATCCACTACCTCTACTTCTCCATGATCCTGTCCACGGTCACCCTCATCACTGTCTCCACCGTGAGCTGGTTCACAGAGCCGCCCTCCAAGGAGATGGTACGTTCGGGCTGATGGCTACATCCGTTGAGACTTTTTGTTGGAAGTGACAGAAAACGGACCCACACTGCCTTAAGCAAAGAAGACTGATTGTCCAAAAAGCTGAAAAGTCCAGGGTTGGGGTTCAGGGGCAGGATTATTCAGGACTTTGAAAAGGTCATCAGAATCCATCTGCACTTCTGCTTTGATTCTTACGTCCCATATGGAGCCCAGTACCTTCTAGAGAGATATCCTCTTTTACTATCATTAAGTAAACATAAGGCTGGGGTGCGGTAGCTCATTCCTGTAATCCCAGCACTTCAGGAAGCTGAGGTGGGAGGATCACTTGAGGCCAAGAGTTCGAGACCAGCCTGGGCAACATAGTGAGAGCCCATCTCTTTAAAAAATGAAAAAATTAGCAGGGCGTGATGGCTCATGCCTGTAATCTCAGTTACTAGAGAGGCTGAGATGGGAGGAATGCCAGAGCCCAGGAGTTTGACGATGCAGTGAGCTATGACCATGCCACTGTACTCCAGCCTGGGTGACAGAGCAAGACCCTGTCTCACAAAAAAAAAAAAAAAAGAAAAAGAAAAAGAAAAAGAAAAGGAAAGAAAAGAAAAAATTAGCAGGGCGTGATGGCTCATGCCTGTAATCCCAGCTACTAGGGAGGCTGAGGTGGGACGACTGCTTCAGCCCAGGAGTTTAAGGCTGCAGTGAGCTATGTCCATGCCACCGCACTCCCACCTGGGTGACAGAACAAGAGCCTGTCTTAAAAAAAAAAAAAAAAAAAAAAAAGGTAAAAATAAGCATAAGTATTTCTGTCCCAGAATTTCTAGAGAAGTTCTGGATTCCCATTGATGGAGTCAGCTCAGGACACATGCTCATCCGTGAACCCAGAAGCAGTCCAAAGTGGTGAAGGCCATCCTGTGGCTCTGCGGAATTCAATCCCCGTGGCCAGAGAAATGGATGAGCTGAAATGACCAATTCTGGGGTCCCACAATACTCTAGGGTGAAGGTTAAGCTCTGAGGATTAGAATGAGGGATAATCACATCCCAGCAACATGGGGATGGGGTTTATCGGAGAAAGACGTGGGAATGAGCGGGGGAATTGTGCGCTGATGCTGAAGAGCGCAGGGACGTGACGCTTGTTGGAGGATGGGGTGGGAGGGTGGGGCTGGGAGCAGATTCAGACACAAAGGCTGAGTGTGGGGTTGGGTGGGGAGTGTGAGAAAAGGATGGAAAACCCCAGCCCCACCTCCACCACAAATCTCATCATTCATTCCTGCTCCTTAGGTCAGCCACCTGACCTGGTTTACTCGTCATGACCCCGTGGTCCAGAAGGAACCAGCGCCACCAGCAGCTCCCTTGTCTCTTGCCCTCTCTCAGAACGGGATGCCAGAGGCCAGCAGCAGCAGCAGAGTCCAGTTCGAGATGGTCCAAGAAAACATGTCTAAAACCCACAGCTGTGAGTAGCCTCGCTCCTCAATTACAGCAAGAAGCATTACGTGTTAAGGGGATTTTTTTTTTTTTTTCCTATCAAATTACAAGCCAGGAAAGTGGGCAGACTTGGAGTTTTAGTGTCCTCTGGCTCCAGTGTCTGATCTGTCCCCACGCTCTGGCCATGAGAAAGGAGTTTTTAGTAACTTTCAACGGAAGCTTCCTACGGGCACTCAGAGTAAACAAACACTTATTGAGTGCCTATGAAGACACGGTTCATTTCATCCTCATGCTCCACACATGGGCAGGCAGGAACACGACGTGCCTTCTCTCAGTGCTTCTAAACTGGCGGCTTGCAGACATATTTTGGCTTGGCCCACCTACAGTTTCAATAAAATGTGAGTTAACGTTTAAAAATGGAGAGATTTCGGCTGGGTGCCGTGGCTCAAGCCTGTAATCCCAGCACTTTGGGAGGCCAAGGTGGGTGGATCACTTGAAGTCAGGAGTTCGAGACCAGCCTGGCCAACATGGTGAAACCCCACCTCTACAAAAATTAGCCGGGCATGGTAGCGCGTGCCTATAGTTCCAGCTACATGGCAGGCTGAGGCAGGAGAATCACTTGAACCTGGGAGGTGGACGTTGCAGTGAGCCGAGATCGCGCCACTGCACTCCAGCCTGGGTGACAGAGTGAGACTCTGTCTAAAAACAAAAAAAATTGGGAGATTTCAGCCAGGCCTGGTGGTTCATGCCTGTAATCCCAGCACTTGAACACACCTGGTGAGTGTCCCCATCTCGCCTCTCTGGGAGACACAGACCACCTCTACGGTCTTCCTTTGCTGGGTTCTTTCTAGGTGACATGACCCCGAAGCAGTCCAAAGTGGTGAAGGCCATCCTGTGGCTCTGTGGAATACAGGACAAGGGCAAGGAAGAGCTCCCGGCCAAAGCAGAACCCATCATAGTTTCCCTGGAAGAAAAGCCCTTGGTGAAGACCCTCCTGGACGTCAACCTTATTTTCTGCGTGACCTGCGCCATCTTTATCTGGGGCTACTTTGCTTAGTGTGGGGTGAACCCGGGGGTTCAAAGGTTGTTTCTCTTCAATGCTCCATTTTTTTAATGAAAGAAAAAATAATAAAGCTTTTGTTTGTTTACCACAAGGCTTCCAAGTGTTTATAGAGCATTTTCAACATGACACTTAGTTCTTTTCTTTTCTTTTTTTTTTTTTTTGAGACAGTGTCTCGCTCTGTCACCCAGGCTAGAGTGCAGTGGCATGGTCATAGTTCACTGCAACCTCAAACTCCTAGGCTCAAGTGATCCTCCCTCCTCAGCCTCCCAAGTTTCTAGGACTACAGGTACACACCCCATGCCTACCTAATTTTTTCTTTTTTTAAAGAGATGTGGTCTATGTTGCCCAGGCTGGTCCTGAACTCCTGGCCTCAAGTGATCCCCCCACCTCAGCCTCCCAAAGTACTAGGATTATTGGCATAAGCCACCACGCCCAGCCTCTTTTCTTCTTGAAAATAATGAAGGTTGGCCGGGCGCGGTGGCTCACGCCTGTAATCCCAGCACTTTGGGAGGCCGAGGTGGGCGGATCACAAGGTCAGGAGATCAAGACCACAGTGAAACCCCGTCTCTACTAAAAATACAAAAAATGAGCCGGGCCCGGTGGCGGGCGCCTGTAGTCCCAGCTACTTGGGAGGCTGAGGCAGGAGAATGGCGTGAACCCAGGAGGCGGAGCTTTCAGTGAGCCAGGATCGCGCCACTGCACTCCAGCCTGGGCGACAGAGCGAGACTCTGTCTTAAAAAAAAAAAAAAAAAAAAAATGAAGGTTAGAAGATGGAAAGAGGAGAGACATGTAAAAGCTTCCTTTCGCAAAAGACAGTTATTCATTCTTCTTATCCATTGTGTAACATCAATACCCAAATTCAAAGGGATAAAGAAGCAAAGGGACTCACAGGACCTTTTAGCATTCGAACTTGCCCAGCTCATCTTCACAGTGCGAAGAATGGGACCTGCATTCTATCTCTTGCCTTCCACTATGGCTGGCTTTGGGTGAAGGTCCCCAAGAGTTTTCTCACTGTGATACTTCCTCCATTTCTTGGAAATAGATCCGAGTTGGTACTCTGAAATCTTGTGCTATAAGAAAATCAGGGAATTGTGTGCACTTCTCAAGTTCTGGCTTAGACTGCTTTGTTTCTGAGACAGGGTCTCACTCTGTCACCCAGGCTGGACTGTAGTGGCGCCCTGACGGCTCACTGCAGTCTTGACTTCCTGGGCTCATGTGATGCTCCTACCTCAGCCTCCTGAGTAGTTGGGACTATAGCCATGCACCACCACGTCTGGCTAACTTTTAAAATTTATTTGCAGAGACATGGGGGGCTGCTTTCTCCTATGTTGCCTGAGCTGGTCTCAAAACTCCTGGGCTCAAGCAATCCTCTTGCCTTGGCCTCCCAAAGTGCTGGGATTACAGGCATGAGCCATGCACCCAGCCTTAGACTGTTTCTTTGCTTACTTCCCCAGGATGATGCTTCCCTAAAAAGCAGCAGCCGGGTGGATGGGCATCTCAATGAACTTCCCCACCAAAGGCCAGTAAGCCTTTGACCTGCAGGGCAGTGGCCTCCTGTTCTGGGTGGAGCCAGCCTCCTCAGCTTTCCCGCTTTGGGCCCGATGGAGTCTGATGGAATGACCCATTAGGGCTGCGTTTGCCACGTGCAGAGCTAAGAGCAGGCAGGGCCAACGGAGTGAGCCCTGAGACCATCTCTGGAGTAGCCCAGGGCCATGAACCATCCAGGCCTGGGATAAGGTCGGGTGGTGGGATGGACTAGAGCCTCTTCCTGGCCTGACAGAGCTGGAAAACAGAGGAGTCTCTCGGGAGACCCTAATTTCCAGGTCAGAGGAAAATAAACAGGACCCCCCGGGGCTGAGGAGCTACTCACCCACTTAATCCTCCACTGATGTCTTTCCGGTTCCTACTTGATGCCAACAGCTGGGACTGGCCTGGTGCACAGGCAAATGTATTGGCCCAGTCCCCACTCTGTTCAGAAGGCCCAGCTCTCTACACGAATCCAAACAGCAGCGGTGGGCTGGACAAAGGGCACCCCCAGCCGTCCTGGGAAAGGGTATGGGTGGGGAACTGGCTGTTAACACGCCTCTAGGCAGGAGCTTGGGATGGTTCTGGAGCAAGCAGGCTCAAGGAGCAGTCTTTACCGAGGAGGCTGAGCTTCTGCCTCCAAGGCCCAAAGGAGGGGAGTGGGCGGCATAGGGGGCTTCCACTACAGTCCTGAGCTCCCCATCCAAGCCTGCCCCTCACACCGAGACCTCTGTTGCCTCTGGCTGGGGTCAACAGTATGTTTCAGCAGGAACACATTGAGCTGTCACTATGACAGCTCGGGCCACCCCCATCTCTGCCTGGCCTCCTGACTGGCCTTCGCACATCCAGTCTTCCCCCTTTTCCAGCCACTGGCAGGGTAGGCAACTCGGATCAAGCCAATCCTCTGCTTGGAATCCTTCAGTGACCTTCCCACACTCAGGATGAAGTCTGCAATCCTTTGCATTCCTTTTTTCTTTATTTTGTTTTTGTTTTTGGACAGGGTCTCTCTCTGTTGCCCAGGCTGGAATGCAGGGTGCGACCATGGCTCAACGCAGCCTCCAACTCCCAGGCTCAGGTGATCCTCCCACCTCAGTCTCCTGGGTATCTGGGACTAGAGGTACACACCACCATGCCTGGCAATTTTGTTGTTGCTGTATTTTGTGGAGAGGGCATTTTGCCATATTGCCCAGGCTGGTCTCCAACTCCTGGGCTAATGTGATCCACCTGCCTTGGCCTCCCAAAGTGCTGGGATTACAGGTGTGAGCCCCCAAATATGGCCTTTGTTTGTTTGTTTACAGACAGGCTCTTGCACTTTGTCACCCAGGCTGGAGTGCATTGACATGATCATGGCTCACTGGAGCTTTCAACTCCTGCCTCAGTCTCTTGAGTAGCTGGAACTACAGGCATTTGGCCACCATACCTGGCTAATTTAAATTTTTTTTTTTTTTGTAGATGGGGTCTTACTATGTTGCCCTGGCTGGTCTCAAACTCCTGGCTTCAAGCAATCTGCCCACCTCAATGTCTCAAAGTGCTGGGATTAAGGCGTGAGCCACTGTGCCCAGCCAGCTGAGAGATTTTAAACGTTCTCACCACAAAAAATAAATAATGGAGGTGATGGATATGTTAATTAGCTTGATTTAACCATTCTGCAATGTATACATATACAAAACATGTCGTATACCATAACTTTTATCAATTTAAAAAAACAGTGCAGTGCAAATACAATTTACAGATGTGCATAGAAACTGAATTCAGGCCAGGTGCAGTGGCTCACGTCTGTAATCCCAGCACTTCAGGAGGCCAAAGTGAATAGATCACCTGAGGTCAGGAGTTCAAGACCAGCCTGGCCAACATATCAAAACTTCACCTCCACTAAAAACACAAAAATTAGCTGACCATGGTGGTGGGTGCCTGTAGTCCCAGCTACTTGGGAGGCTGAGGCAGGAGAATGGCTTGAACCTGGGAGGCGGGGGGTAGCAGTGAGCCGTGATCATGCTACTGCACTCCATCCTGGGCAACAGATCAAGATTCCATCTTAAACAAATAGAATGACAATTAAAAACCCCAAATTCAAACCCAAGTAGAAAGAGTGAAAATAGAACCCTGATGTTTTTTGTTAGGTTGGGGGAGGTTCTTCCTTGTATCAAATATCCCCCTCCCGACATGTCATTTATGATGATGTTTCATGTGTGAAGCACAGACCCTAAGGTGACCCTCAATAATCCCTACTTCCTGGGAAGTGGATCCTTCCCCAGTCCAGCCTCAAGATAAGACCCCAGCCCTGGCTGCTGCCTTGATTGCAGCAGATGAAAACCCTGGACAGAGGACCCAGAGAAGCCGTGCCTGGAGTCCTGACCCACAGGGGCTATGAGAAAATGAACGTGTTGTTGTAAGCTGCTAAGTATGTGGCCATCTGTCATGCTGCACTGGATAATTGACACAAGGGGCATGGTGTGTGAACGCATGTATGGATGTAAAGGAGGGGTTGGCTGGAGAGGGTGTGGGAGGAAGACAGTTGCCTGCACAGCTGTGTGGGGTCTACACAGCCACGTACCACCTTTGGAGGGAATCAGGTAGAAGTCATTTGGTTGCCAGTAAGAGAAACAAACCCAAAGAGGAACGCTTGTGCCAAAAACAATCAAGCACTTTATCGTGAGCATTCAAAGGCAAGAAATGCAGAATGGCTTCAGGGACACAAACCGGGAGCTGGGAGGGTTTTAAACACCAAGCCCTGTATTCTCTCCCTCTAATCTTTTGTCTCTGCCTCTCTGCATATCTGCTGCCTTCTCCCTCTGCAGGCAGGTTTTCTCTACTACACAGAATCCACGGTGGTGGCAGGAGGGCACCCACAGCTCCGTGCCGGGAGACAGGGGTCCTGCCTGCTGGGGAAGAGACTCAGGGCCCACGCCTGTGTGAACCCATGTGGGACAGGGTGGGGATGGCCACATGTGCAGCCTGCTGTGGGCAGTGGGGAAACTAAGGGAGTCCTTGACTTGCTTCCCCACTGCCTTAGCTGGCAGCTCAAGTGGTCTTGGTCACTTCTTGCCTTTAGCAGCACCAGACACTGTGGCTTCGCCACACCAGCACATCTCCTCCTCTCTAGCTCCACCGATGAGATACGAGAGAAGTGCAAGCCCTTGGCTGAGAAGCATCCCTATGAGTGAGGTGCTTGCTGCCCAGTCTGATGCAAAACCCTGAGACTGTGGGTCCCAGAGGCCAGAGGCGCCGGAATATGGTGGGGAAATGGTGGGAGGAGACCTCAGGGAGAAACCAAGAGAGTTTGTCTTAAGACCTTCAAATAAGAGCACTTGCGGGACTCACCGGGCTTGGGAGAGCACTGAGAACTGCAGCCCCAACAGAGGAACAGGAGTTGGTCCACGGAGCTCCCAGAGAACCAGGGCCATCACAACGGTCCAGGATGGGGTCACTCCTACGGCATCTGAATTTTTTTTTAGAAGAGATGGTGCAGGTGGGGGAGCAGGGATAGGAAGTCTGAGCGCAAGGGCCTCTTCCTATAAGAGACTACTGTGTAGAGAAGGGAAGGAAACAATCTGAAGGGCAGATGGCCAGCGCCCTTCTGGACGGCCAGAAATGGCCACTATGGGTTCCGATTCTCTACCTCTCTGACGGGGGGCAGGCTGGAAACAGTGTACCATGTGCAGTGCCAATGCAGCACAATGCCCCCAGCAGAGGGAATCCCAGGTCACAGGAATGGCAAAGAAAGAGGATCCAGGTGCCTCTCCTGGCCCTGCCAGTGGGATGCTGAGCCATGTACCTCATACTAGACAGTTCTGTTTGGTCCTTTTTTTTTTTTTTTTGAGACAGAGTCTCACTGTGTTGCCCAGGCTGGAGTGCATTGGCGTGATCTCAGCTCACTGTAGCCTCTGTCTCCCAGGTTCAAATGATTCTCCTGTCTCAGCCTCCTAAGTAGCTGGAATTACTGGCGTCCGCCACAGTGCCAAGTTAATTTTTTGTATCTTTAGTAGAGATGGGGTTTCACCATGTTGACCAGGCTGGTCTCGAACTCCTGACATCAAGTGATCCTCCCGCCTCGGCCTCCCAAAGGGTAGTCTTTACCTTTGACACATACACAGAGTCAAATGATTTTGATTGTTTTGAAGTTTGCAGCTGTCAGGGTAGGAAGACTGCTGCAAACAACAGGAGAGTAAAAACTGAATGAGGCTCTTAAAATAATGAGGTAGGGTTTCCTGTATTTCAGAATCAGCAATGACAAACACATGCTACATTCTGGGCAGGATGTCAGCATGGATATTCCTCGTCCCCAGGTGCCAACAGCATCTCCTTGACAAGCGTCTACATCCCTGCTTCCTCTGCAGGACAAGTTCAGGCATCATGATGGGAGCATCTCCAAGGCTCCATGGAGACACCTGACCGTGGACAGCCAGGCTCCTGGAGAAGGTGCTCAACGTGGAGCATCGGCCTACACAGAGGCTTCACTTTCTCTGCAGGGTTTGTTCTGTGGCTAACGGAGGGTACAGAAAATTAACAACACACGGGTAGCACAGGGGAGGAGTGAGCCCTAAGGCGATGAACATTCAAGATATGGCGGCAAATGGGCTTACAGGAGCATATTTTCACGGTAATTAATGTAGGGAGTACTTTGAGGGCATAGGAAACTGAGTAAAGATGAAAATGTGGGCTGCACATGGTGGCTCACACCTGTAATTCCAGCACTTTCGGAGGCTGAAGTGGGAGGACTGCTTGAGGCCAGAACTGAAGACCAGCCTGGGCAATACAGCAAGATCCCTGTCTCTAGAAAAAAATTATTTAAAAATTAGTTGGGTGTATTGCCATGCACCTGTAGTCTCAGCTACTCGGGAAGCTGAGTTGGGAGGACGGTTTGAGCCCAGGAGTTTGGAGGCTGAGGTGAGTTATGACTGTGCCACTGCACTCCAGCCTGGGCCATGGAGTGAGATCTGTTTCAAAAAAACAACAAGGGAAATGTGATTGCCCTTTTTAAATCAAGCTTAAGTCAGTTTGTAGTGGAAAGAGGTCCAGTGTCTTCTAAGCAGGGACTTAGACACTGACACACTTAGCAAACTTGATCAATAGAAGGCTCAGGGCAGCCAACTCTGGCAGCGTGTCCTGCTCTGTTCCCAAGAGAAAACAGCCTTATCTGGGTCACAGGGAAGGAAGGTGCTATCATGAGACGAGCTGTCCAGAGCCTCAGCCTCACTTTGCTCCAATTCCCCATCAGCTCTCTCCTAGTATTTCAATCCTGGCAGAGACGGGATAATTTTCATGCCTTGGATAGGGCATGAAAGCACCAGCCATTGGAAAAGGGGCTCTCCATGGCAATTTACAGCTGCTGACGAATGCACCGACCCAGCGCGGCTGAGCTCCTGTGAGCTGCCCCGGGAGTCTGAGTATCTCCAGATGGAAAGAAACGGATGCCAGCACTGGGAGGACCAAGGGTGCAGCCTTGACCAGAACCTGCACTGAGGGATGGCCAGTCTAGAAGGTCTCTGGGGCACCTGGTGGCCTTTTTCACTGCTGTGACCTTGCTCTCTGTTTCTTCAAACTCCTACAGCTACAATTAGACCCTCTCCCTCAACAAGTCCCAGCCACAGTTCTATCTGGTGGAGTGGCAACACGTACACACTCATGCACACACACACGCATGCTACAATGTGTCTCCAAGAATCATGAAGTTTTCATATAAACCACAGAATATATTTAATTCAAATTAAACATGAAACTAGAATAATGTTCGGTCCTTATCAAGTAGCAATTACATTGTTTAAAAAAAAAAAGAACAGTACATTTCCGTCTACATTCCGGCAATCCAACGAGGTGGCACGGGTCACATCCAGTTTGACAAGGTGACAGAGCCAGCAGTCACCATCCAAGGGCACGGTTCTGAGGGGACTGGGGAGACACAGACGATACATGACACAAAATGACTCTGCAGCAAGTCTGAAGGACAGCAGCCGCCCTCCTAATACAGAAGAATGAAAGTCCAGGTAGCAGAGAGCAGGCCACTCGCATAAAGAGCGCATTGTATTAAATAGATAGTTAACGCACTGCTTCTTACTCATTCCAAGTTGCTGTAGGTGCTGCCCGCGTTAACAGCAGGGGCAAAAGCTTCCTATGCGCGTTTCAGCAGGAACACTCTCTCCGCTCCAGGTATTTCTTTGTTTTGGATTTTTTTGGCATTATTTCCTTCCCATGTGAAGAAAGCCAACTTCTTCAAGACACAGGTCATTCAGCTTCCGTGGCGGCCTCCAGGTGCTCCTAGGGCCGTGCAGAAGGCCAGGTCCCGCACAGTGAGGCCCTCCTTTGTCCTCCACTGAAAGCTTTTCACTGTTCTGTCTGCAAAGGAAGAGGTTTGCCTGCCCCTGCTCCACGTGCCAGGGTGGAAGGGGTGGAGGGCTGGCGGGGGCTTTCTTCACAGGGCCGTGCTCTCGGTATCATTGTCTATATCCAGCAGGATGCGGCCAGGCACGTCTTTGCTGGCTGAGTCTGAGTGCATTTCAGGAAAGATGCTGCGATGTGGGTCTGAAACCCTGGAATTGGAGTCTGGACAAAAACACGAGGAGACACGGTATCAATGAGGGGTAACCCCCGAGAGGTCACCTGAGGGTGCTTTGAGAAGAGAGGCTGGGAAGTTTCAGGGTCAGCCCATGCACACAGAATCCCTTGCGAGAGGCCTCATCAGCTCTTAGAAGCCAAGTGATGCCTTTGTGACCCCAGAGGGCAGCTGAGTGGCACAGCCTCGCCTCTGGGCTCTGAGGTTGCTTGCTGTGAGCCCGGGGCAGCCCTTGGAGATGCAGCTTTCAAAGGATTTGCTTGCTTTGATGGAAGAAAGGAAGCCTCCTTCTTCCCAAGGCCTCTAATGCATGAGATGAACCCTCCTGATGGCCCCTGGGCTGCCCTGGGAAGAGGTCTCTCCTCGAGACTGCTGGGTTTTCCTCCTGTTACTAACACTAGGACCTCACCTTCAGCACTAGCAACATTTGGGCCTGAATTATTTGTTGTGGTTGTCCTGTGCATCGTAGGTGTCACCCAACAGGTGCCAGTGACATGCAGCCTCCTCCCCCAGTGTGACGACCAAAAATGTCTCCTGTGCATCACAGATCACTGGGGAAGTTTCAACTGTCTCCAGAAGCTGCCAAGTGTCCCCTGGGGAATCACAATCACTGCTGACTGACATCACTGAGGCAGACTAAGTCTCCTGCAAATATTAACTTCCCCTTCTCTGTCTAATACACTTCAAATGCCATTTTCATGTCTTACTACGTTGGCTGAAATTCCTTCAGCAAGGTGGCAAACATACGGTCCTCATGCTGTTGTCCCCCTCTCCTATGCTCTTCCCAGAGGCCAGTGGGTCTCAGATTCATTTATGCATGAACAAACATTTACTGAGCACCTCCCAGGTGCCAGGCACTGTTCTACCTGCTGAGGACGCAACACTGCACGAGACAGGCACGGCCTCAATGAAGCCCGTGGTCAAGTGGGCGAACCAAGGGGATCTTAATTAAAACAAAAGGGCTGGCTTCTCTAGTAGATGTGGGTTCTGGCAAATTATGAGAGCCTCATTAGGTATTTTAGGGCTGGTGTAAGACAGAAGAGAGATATTTTGTAGTTTTGCTTTGCTGGGTTAGAGGTAGCTGTGGCAGGCAGCAGTGAGGGAGTGGGAGGAGGAGGTGGTTTGCTGGGACGTCTCACATTGAGGCTCGAGAGCTGCTTCTCGCCCACTTGCTGTGGTGCAAAATGACATCCTGCCTGTCCTTGCCGGGAGCTAGTTTTGAATGTATTTCTGTTCGACCTGCTCCTCCTGTCTGCGCAGGCACAGCTTGAAAACGCTGGTGCACTCTGGGGAAGCTCACTGCTTCGAGACTTGTTCCAGCTCTACCCTTCCACCTTCCTGTCCCTACAGTCTGAGCTGTAAGATCTATTTACTCCCTGGGACATCCTTTTTCTCACAGTGACTCCTTGGTTGTCCCTCAAGGTTTCCTACACACCACAACTCAGAGAAATTTCAAGATTTATGGAGGTGCCAAGGTGTCAGAGTTCAGGTGCCGAATGTCATTTCAGACAATTCAGGCCTTGTGATAACTATAAAACCAATGACACTGTGCAGAACTGCACCACCCTATGGTGCAGTCAAAGGTGGTCTGTATGCACAGAATAGGGGCTGTCTTGGATTTGTCCTAAGCAGAACAGAAGTCAACGAAGGCAGGGACTGTGTCTGTCTTGTTCACAGTGTATCCTCAGTACCTAAAACAGTGACCAGCAAATAGCAGATGTTCAATAAATTTTGTAGCTGCACACTTGGATGGTTGGATGGATGAATGAAGAGTCATCTAGAGCAACCATCTTTCCAATCCTCCGTTCTTACATCTTCAGGCAAAGAAGTAGCTGTGACTTGAAGATGATACCGGTATAAGAAAATCACTGCAAATGCAATCCTTTCCCCCATTATCTTGGCCCCTAAAAACAGAAGGGGCTACCAGCCTGTGTCTCTTCTCAGCCCAGAGTTTACCAGAAACTATGGAACAGACATGACCTGGCGGAGAACGCATGATGCAAAGGCACTGTGCATACGGATGAGATTTCTACTTGTTAATATCTGTGTTCACATGCAAGTTAACGTCTATCAGCCACGAAGCCCTTCCACAGCTGCTCTCTTTTTCTTATACATCACATATATATAATTTTTAGATTTATGCCTTTCTAAATTTTTCTATTTATGATCCACACACATTATTTATTCAAGGGGAAAAATGTGTTCTGGGGCTACATTTTTTTCCAGCTACAAGGAAATCCCTTACTCTGCCTGCCACCTGCCCCATCTGGTTTCCCCAGCCCCTCTCTATTCCTACATGAATCATCCCTGAAAGAAACAATGACT